TCGCTATTTATCTAGTTCCCCGCCTCTCCCGGTATCTATTAATTTGTAAATTAGTACTTATCCAGTTCGCAAAATAGGGGAGGACGGGAAACAGAGAAGAGGGGGGAGGGAGGGGGCGGGGAGGGTGGGGGGAGATATATACCTGAGCTTAACACGTTGGCAATTTATATCTAAGATAATGATGGTGTTTAGGGTAAGCGGGGGGGGGGAGGCCAGACGGGATGCCAAAACCTGTGACGAAATAATAATTTGCAATGTTAGAATTACATGCTTTTTATTCATCTTTATCTTTCTTCTTCTTTTTCCTCGTCTCCTTCTCTCTCTCTTTTTTTTCTTCTTCTCTTTATTTACTTCTTTTTCTTCTCTCCCTTCTACTTCTTTTTCTTCTCTCCCTTCTACTTCTTTTCCCTCTCTGTCTCTATCTTCTTCATTTTTTTTTATCTCTCCTCCACATTCTCTCTCCCTTTTCATCTTCTTCTTCCTCTTCTTCATCTCTTAATTCCTCCTCTCGCTTCGCTAAGATAGATGAAGGTCTCAAGAGGGTGTTTCATAATATGTTACTTCCTTTGTGTGTCTTGAGGTCTGTTCCACGTCGATGACTCTCCTTGGTAGTGAATGCATTATGCGTTTGAAAAGTGTTCTCTTCCTGATTGGTAAGTTTAGAAATGAGAACGATCTATTAGATGTAGAAAGGAGAAGATACATACATTCTTCCATACATTAACTACGTATCTATAATAAAGAGTGATGTACAGATGTAGAGACCTATAAATGCACAGATAGGCAGATGGACGGAAGACGGAAGGCAGATAGAGGAAGGGCCCCCACCCTCTTTCGCCATCACGCATTCACAATAATCCCCTCGGCGGCACCATATCTCATCATCCATCGGCCTGGGGTTCACTATCCCCGCCCGGGACGACACTCTATCGGATTTAGCCAGCGTCCACTCGCGGTTGCCAGATTATAAGTCCGTCCCCACCATAATGGACACCAAGAGGATCCCCACGACGGAGCAGTAAGGGGATAACCGTCCCTCTTACTCGAGAGCTCGGAGTCTCATTGGGGAACAACGGGAATGCCGTCCTTCGGGAGGGTTGTGGGAAAGCCCTATCTCGCGGCAGATCTGAAGAATCCAGTAATCGTAGGATTCGTCAAGGTTGCGTCTCTTATTGTCGTGGTCTCGCCGGAGTTGCCCCCGGACGCGACCTGCGAACTGGAATTATGCATCTGCGAACCATTCATAACAAAAAAGACTGACAAGGAGGTGCAGTTAGGACTCTTCTTGCTCCGACCGCGTGATAAATCAAGGGGAGACTCCGCTGTATCATTACTCGGGGAAAATTACAACGATGCCTGTTATGCACACGACAGTCAGTGCATACGGGAAGGAAGATAGGGCGCGAGGGAAGAGGGGGACAGGGAAGAAGGGGGACAAGGGAGAGGGGGTAGGGAAAGGGAGAGGGGGTAGGGAAAGGGGGAGGGGTAAGGGGAGAGGGGAGTGGGAGAGGAGGAAAGGATAGGAAAAGAAAGAGAGAAGGGCCGAGAGAAGTGAGGGAAGAAAGGAGGAAAGGGAAATGGTCGAGAGGAAAGGCCTGGGAGAGAAGAGGAAAATAGGCAAGGACCGAGAGGGGAGAACCGAAGGCTGAGAGGGGAGAGAGACGAACCGAAAGGGGAGAGAGATAAACCAAGAGGGGAGACAGAAATGGAGAAAAGGAGGGAAAGGCCGAAGAGGGGAGAAGAACGATCGACGCAAAAGGAAGACACGACTCAATGCACCCAAGCGAAGATGCATCATAAGAAGAGAAAGAGAAAGAGACAGAGCAGAAGGGGGGAGAGAGAAACGAAGAGGCATCATAAGAAGAGAAAGAGAAAGAGACAGAGCAGAAGGGGGGAGAGAGAAACGAAGAGGCATCATAAGAAGAGAAAGAGGAAGAGAGAAAGCAGAGGATGCGGGGAGGGGAGATGGAAGCAAACGGATACAGCAAAGGAGGAAGAGGGTAAGGGAAGGGGTAAGGGAGGGGCATAAGGGATAGACAGAAAGAAGGAAGAGAGGGGGGAGGGAGGGGGGAAGAAGGAATGAGAAAGGAATGGTCTGTTGATGTCTTCTGTGGTGGAGGAAGGAGGCCAGAAGGGAAGGGAGGGAGACGTCAGGGGCTGTGTGTGCGCACTCATTTAAACAAGCCTGGGAAGAGTGGCAGCCTTTCACCCTTCGAGGATGCGATGGACGGCTATCAGGGGGAGGAGGGTGACTCAGGGGAAGGGGAGTAACTCAGGGGAAGGAGGGTGACTCAGGGGGAGTAGAATAACTCAGGGGAAGGAGAGTGACTAAGGGGAGGAAAGTGACTTAGGGGAAGGAAAGTGACTCAGGAGAAGGAGAGTAACTCAGGGGAAGGAGAATGACCCAAGAGAAGGGGTCCTGGCGTTCTGGGGTCCTTAGTGGTCCTTAGGGGTCTGGGGTCTGGGGTCTTAAGGTCCTGGGGTCTGCGCTATACAGAGTCTAAGGCTCGGGGTCTAGAATGTATATGTTTCTGATATCTCTGGGGTCTGGGATTTGGGATATGGGGTCCTGGGATCTGGCGTCTGGCGTCTGGGGTCTGGGGTCTGGAGTCTGGGGTCTGGGATCTTGGCGTCTGGGGTCTGGCGTCTGGGATCTGGGGTCCTGGGATCTGGCGTCTAACGTCTGGGATCTGGGGTCCTGGGATCTGGCGTCTGGCGTCTGGGATCTGGGGTCCTGGGATCTGGCGTCTGGCGTCTGGGGTCTGGGATCTGGCGTCTGGGATCTAGCGTCTGGGATTTTGGGATCCTGGGGTCTGGGATATGGGGTCTGGGGTCTGGGATTTTGGGATCCTGGGGAGAAAGGGGCGAGGAGGCTCACACGCCAACTATGGTCGAAGGATAATGTAATCAGGTTTACTTCAAGTTTTGAATTATTTGCTATCGCTCTGTTCCTTGCACGTGCAGAGGCTACACGTCGTGGTGCATAGGGAGTGAACGACAAAAAAAAAAATAGATAAAGAAAAATAAATAAAAGAAAAAAGAAAAATGAATAAAAAATAAATAAAAGGAAAAATAAAAATAAATAAATAAGCAAACAAACACATAAATGAATAAACAAACAAACAAATAAATAAATAAACAAGCAAATAATTAAATAAACACATAAATAATTACAGGAAAAAAGAAGACGAAAAGAAGAAAATGGTGATGGTGAAATGGAAAGAAGGAGAGGAAGGAAATAAAGGAGAGGAGAAGAAAAGGAAGAGGAGAGTAGTGATGGCCAAAGAAGAAAAAGAAGAAGAAAAGGAAAATGGAAAGTGTGAAGAGATAAAGAGGATGATGGTGAAGGAAACGAAAAAAATTATGTGAAAAAGATAACAGATAAGCAGATGAAGAGGAGAATAACAAGAAAAAGGAAGAAATAAAGAAAAAAATAAAATGATGAGAAAACGAAAAGGAAGAAGGAGGATGAAGATAAAGGAATGAATAGAGAAATAGATAAAACGAGAAAGAAAACGAGGGAGAGAGAAAGTAAAAGAAACTCACAGAAACGGGGATGTGACGTCATAGGAAGAAAGAATGGAGGAAGAGACAGAAAAAAAGAGTAAATAGGAAAAACGATCGATAAAAAAGCTAACGGGACGAGAATGACATAGATTTTTTTTTCATGTTATCTATTTATTAATTTATTTTTATTATTATTATTCATGTCCTTGTTCTTACTCATATTCTTATATCAGTTCTTATTCTTTTTGTTTTTATCACTTCCTTTGCCTATTCTTACTATCATTATTCTATTCTTATACATCATCTTCTTCTTCTATTATCATACATCTTCTCTTCCTCCTCTTATTCTTATTCTTTTTTTCCTTCTTCTTCTTCTTTCCTCCTTCTCCTGCTCCTGCTTCTCCTCCTCCTCCTCTTTCCTTTCTCCTCCTCCATCCCTTCATCCTAATCCTTCTCCTCCTCTTCTTTTCCTTCTTCTTCTTCTTCTTCTTTTTCTTCTCCTCTCTCTCCTTTCTCCTCTACCTTCCCTTCCCCCTAATCCTTCTCCTCCTTCTCTTCTTTTCCTTCTTCTTCTTCTTCTTCTTCTTCTTCTTCTTCTCTTCTTCTTCTTCTCCTCTCTCCCTTCTCCTCTACCTTCCCTTCCTCCTAATCCTTCTCCTCCTTCTTCTTCTTCTTTTCCTTCTTTTCTTTCTTCTTCTTCTTCTCCTCTTCTCCCATCGTTATCATTACGTTTCTTGCCTGTTTCCGGCGCGTGAGTTGATGTCTTTTATTTCTTTTGATGATTATGTTTGAACGCGATACAATTCTTTTCTTCGACTTTCCCATTGATTCTTATGAAGCCTTTCTGCTGACTATAACAATTTATTGCATGACTTCCATGTGCACGTTGCAATCATGCAGAAAAGATGATGGCTATTTTAAGAAACGCGAGAAGAAAATTATTCATTTCTTTGCCTCATAATACGCACTTATTCAGGTAATATCAGAAAACTCAGGCAGGTAAGTTATGATTGTTTAAAACGAGGGTTTCTTTATTTTCATATAGAGAGAAAGAGAAAAAAAAGGAAAACAAATGCATCAATGGATGGAAAAAAAATGAATGAATGCATCCATAGAATAATGGAAAATGTATGTAGAGAATAATACGAAATAAAAACAATGGAAAGAGATATTAAAATAAAACAAGAAATCAGAGGCAAACAAGCCTTTCCAATCTGCAGATCAACCGTACCCCTTTCTCCTCTCTCCCTCCCTCCCTCCCTCCTTCCTTCCCTCCCTCCCTCCCTACCCCACCCTCCCTGCAACCCTGCTGTCCAAAAAATCGACAAATACAAAAAAGGGAAGTCCTAAATAAACCAATATCTCCCTCTATACCAACAAACCATCCCTAACAAAGAGTAAGTAATTAAAACAAGTGGTTCTCTGACAGGGGCCACTTGAACCTCCCCTGCCCCCCTCCCCCCTCCTACCCCCTGCACCCCTATACTCCCTATAAGGTCTTGCCATTGGTAACTGCAGTTCCGTAGCAAAGTCATTTCACGGCAGCAATTGCACACACTTCTCCCTGTGGCATTGCAAGCTTGGGGGAGGGGGAGAGGGGGAAGGAGGGAGAGGACGTGTGTGTGTGTGTGTGTGTGTGTGTGTGTGTGTGTGTGTGTGTGTGTGTGTGTGTGTGTGTGTGTGTGCTGAGGGTCAGGGGAGGGGTAAGGGGTAAGGGGTAAGGGATAAGAGGGCAGGGAGAAGGGTAAGGGGGAGGGGGGGGAAGGAGGAAGAGGAAAGGGGAAGGGGGGGAAAGAGGGAGGAAGGGGAGGGAGGGAGTTAGCGTGCAACATGCGAAGCGGCAGTGTCATTGCAACAACGACTGCTGCCCTCCCTTCACTCTATTGAAACTCTCTTTATTGCACAGATATTTTTTTCAACGACGAGCGTTTTGTGATGTTGCAGTTTGTCGCTATGTCCTGCCATCAGCGAACGATCTCATTTGGCCAGATGGGAAAGCGTTAACTGAATGGATGTGATGAAAGCGGAGAGGGAGAGAAGGAGAAAGAGAAAGAGAGATCGTGATAGATATAGATAGATAGATAGATTGATAGAGAGATAGAAAGAGAGAGAAATGGAGAGAAAGAGAGGGAGGGAGGGAGGGAAGGAAGGAGGAAGAGAGAGAGAGAGAGAGAGTGAGAGAGAGAGAGAGTGAGAGAGAGAGAGAGAGAGAGAGAGAGAGAGAGAGAGAGAGAGTAAACATACAGAGAAAGAGAATCAGATAGTCAGACAAACAGATAGACAAGGAGAAGGACATAAATTGAGATAAATAAATAGAGACATACACTGAAGACAGAGAGACAGATAGGAAGATGGATAGATAGGTAAATAAAGAGACATACAGACAGACAGATAGAGAAGTACATAAATAGATAGATAGATAATTAGAGAGAAAGAGAAAGAGGGAGAGAGAGAAATAGACATAGAAAAGGGCAAACAAGCAGACATATAACAAAAACAAAGACGGTAATAGATCTCCAACCCCGAAATAGAACGAAAAAAATAACATACACAAGGTAGACAGAAAACAAAAAACAAAACAAAACAAAAAAGATAAACCTAATTTACCAAATAAGTCTCGGATAGACCTATAATTTCTCGTCATCATCACACACAAAAACTATTTTACATATCTATGCGCCAGGACTGACTAGCGCAACCAACTGCTTTATCCTGTCCATTCTTCTGTCTCCATTGTTCACTCCCGCACTAATTCATAAAAGTTCTTTTCGACAATGTCACACGGGGGGGGGAGGGGGAAGGGGGGGTGGAAGGGGGGGGTGGAGGAAGGGGGCGCAGACCTCCCACTGGGGAAGCGCCTGGGGGAGCGAGTTCCAGGGGGGTAGGTGTGGTGGAGGTGGGTAAGGGGGTGAGGGGGTGAGGGGTGGGGGTGATGGTTGGGGGGTGAAGGGATGATGGGGGGGGGTGATGGGGGGTTAGGGAGTGAATGGGGGGGGGAGGGATGGGGAAGAGGGAGGAAAGGGCTTCTGATGTGGGGATATTTCAAGGGAGGGGGGTGGGAGGGGAGAGCTACTGAGGTAGGGGAAGGGCAGGGGAGGCAGGGTAGGAAGGAACGTGGGGAGGAACCCCTGTTGATTTTCGGGAATTAATCAATTCTTACGTCTCGTCATTTTCTTTATTTTCTTTCATCTACGTCTCTAATTTTTTAAATTTCTTTATATATATATCTTTCTTCGATCTTGTGATTAAAAAAAAAAAAGCAAAAAAATTCATAATCGATTCGTTCTTAAAAAAAAAAAAAAAAAACATATTCATAAAAAAGTGACACAATTGTTTGGGTTCACTTAAGTGTAAAGTTTTAGCCACGTTGGCAACAGAGGCTCAGCTGGCGTCGGGAGGGGAAGGGAGGGGAAGAGCGGGGAAGGGGGAGGGGGAGGGGGAGGAGGGAAAGGAGGAGGAGGAGGACGACGAGAAGGAAGAGGCCGAGGGAGGAAAGGCAGGAGGCAGGCAGGCGGCTCGGAAGGGAAGGGAGGGGGGAGCTATAGGGGGGTAGGGGGAGAGGGGGACTAAAGAGAGGGAAAGAGCGGGGAGGGGGAGAAGGGTGTCCATTGTAAGAGGGGAAGCTGAGGGGGAGTCGCCTGTCAGGGGTGAAGCTCCCCCTTAATATTTATGGGTGTAACCTCTCAACACTCTCTCGCGACCCGCCGCCCGCGCGCCGCCCAAGGCCCCTTAAGACCCGACCAAAGGGGGGGGTGACAAGGGGAAGGGGAGGGGGTAGAGAGGAGGGGGACCTGTGATACGTAGGGGGAAGAGGGGAAGAGGGACGAGGACAAAGGGAAGGGGAGGGGGGCGAAGGGAAGAGGGGGTAGGGGGGAGGAGGGCAAAGGGAAGAGGGGATAGGGGGTGGGGAGGGGGGGGGAGGGTTTTTGAAATGAACAACTGACTTGAAAAAAGGGTGAATGAGCTGGCGTCACCCTAGCGATAAAAAGGAGA